GTCGAATAATTTGGTGTCGAATCGTACGGTGTCGAATAATTTGGTGTCGAATAAATCTGTGTCCAATAATTTGGTGTCGAATTGATCGGTGTCGAATCGTACTGTGGTCAAACGGAACACGCCCGGAATTGTAAGAGCGGGGGTGGTATCGGTCCCGAGAAGGATCAATCAGCGTCTGGGCACTTATGGTCACCAATGAGCGAAGTTCAGGGGTACTTGATGGGGATGATAGGGCTCTTAAGGAAGGACCAGTGAGCGTCTGGGTACTTATGGCTTCCAATGAGCGTAAAGCATAGTTGAGGGCGTCTCGGCGAAATAGAAATTGAAGCAGGCGTCGCAAAACTGTGACTAGAAAGTCAGAGATGTAATATAAAAAATGAATTTATGTGGCCGAATTTTTTCTGAACGATTTTCATTTGCGAGAACTTGTACGTGCGGATTGACACGTGCGTGCCGATGAGCAAACGAAAACATAATTTTGTTGAAGACAAAAAACGGTTTATGACTCGGGACCGTTAAACCTGCGCGTACTTGTTCGCGCGAGAAAATTCGATGGATATTCAATAAAGTTGAGTCGTGTTCCATGTGTGCGTTGCGGAATTTCTTCAAAGTCGCAGAAGGAAGCGGGAATCTGACGGCGGTATTCCATAGCTGTCGAAGTAGGTGGCGTGTCTGTTTCCATCGAGGAAGAGGGCACCTCAGTGGGTTTCTGGTTGATTGTGATTGTCTGTATTAGCGACGATTGCTGTCCACTTTGTCCACACCCTGGGCAATTTGTCGGCTGGGTAAACTCCTGTGTGTCCAGATATTTGCAGTTGTCGGAAAGCTTGCAATATTTCTTTCGTATTCATTATTTCGATACAGATAGTCGCGAGAAAGCGGAGTGAATCTTATGTATTCCCCTTGTACTTCTGTTTGTACAGCAACGTCGTTTAGGCGGAAGGTTTTCGGTGGGCAATTGTTTTCACTGCACGTATCTTCTTCTTCTTCTGGTAATTGTTTTTTCTTCTTCTCCGTTTTGATGTCGTCAGATTGTATCATGCTGATCTTATCGTTGACAAAGCCGTTATTGAGATGTTCTTCAACGCTGTTTAGGTTTAACCAGCGTTTTAATCGAAAAGCGTTACGTAGAGCGCAACTAATGTCCGATGAGCGAACTCCGTGATACGAACACTGAGATATGTTCTCTTCGCTTTTTGAGATAGATTCGAACGACGGAGAGAGAGCTTCCAGATTATATATGTGTGTAGATAGAAGCTTTTCTAAAAAATCCAGTTTTTTTGCTTCTGGTGTAGATGGCGGGAGCGTATTTGGTAACTTCTCGTAAATGTCTCGTGAGATATTTGAGATTGGTTTCACCGTCAAACCATTCAATACCGTGATAAATTTGTGTTAGCCAATCGTTGCATTGTTTTGATTTTTGTGGTAATTCGGTAAACGAGAACGGAGGCATCAAGATCCAGTTTCCAAAAATCGGTTGCTCTACCGCGACATACGCCACTTCTTTTGGAATAAATTCACACACGACGCCGAAAAATCCTTGCATTTCTATGATCACAGCACCTTTATACTCGGACATCGTGACAACGAAGCGAAGATATCTAAGACTAGAACAAAACTAAAATTTTTCCACGCGACAAAAGGCGTAGAAAAATGGGAAAAATGTAGTGGGAGAAAATTATCCTCTTTACGCATGTGCAAAAATATGATTATCCGTTCAAATCAACAATGATTTGGCGCGAAGAATCAATTTCCAAAACACTGTCAAATTTTGCATAAACAAGACAGTTAATAGTCGTTTCGAAAGCTTTTTCGAACCTGCTTTAGTTCGCAAATTACCGTGCTTCACGAGATTCCAATGTTTGACGCAATTGGCCGATAAATCGGATGTGAGATCAAAAGCGAAGAGTGTGTATCCGTGTGCATAAGCATCTCTGCTTATAGCATTGCCTTCGTTTAGAAAAAGATTACCCGTTTCTGAGAAAAGAATATAAAAAGCTTCGATGTAGAGGGGAGAGTTTTTTGAAAAAGAAGGTTGTAACGGTCTAGTAAGAACTTGCATTCCACCGACGTAAAGCGACAGGAAATTTATATTAAAGTTTTTAAAATTAAACGGATTAAGTTTACTATCGCCGTTAAACGCCTTATTTTCGACATAACCGATTATCACTTGCTTCGGCAGTTGCCCGAGTATGGCGTTGTCAATTGATTCCCCCACCACTCCTCTATGGATTGTAAACGATTTAACTTCAACTCTCGTGAGAGAATATTTTGCAGTGGTTTTGCTCAACATTTTAGCGTGANCTAATAAAACTCCAGCGCTTAGTTTTGCTCTCCTCATGATCAAGGTGGCGTCTACAATACAAACTCTTGTCTGTGGCGTGAATACCATGAGACAGAAAGAATCCTTCGAGCGGATGAGTCTTAGGCGCATTTCCACGCCATTAACCCTTTCGATACGGGCGACTTCCCCGCCGTGGTATTTTCGCTGAAAGGGCCGCCGCGCCAAAAATGTACACGGTGCTCGAGTAAACTCTCCAAATTGATTTGGCATTTTTTTTTGATTTATATACTTGAGGAATGTCGAGAGAAACAAATGATAAAAACAAAAAACATGCGAATTGCCAGCGAAAAATACTCGATGTAAAGTAACTATAATCGCTCGTCATATGTATTATAGAGTGTAAGTATACTACGCGGCATTTTATGCAGAGCGGCTATAGCCGCCCGTAGTTTGTGAATGGCATTTTATGTAGAGCGACTGCAGTCGCCCGTAGTACGTCAGTGGCATTTTATGGAGAGCGACTATAGTCGCCGTAGTGGCAAAAAGGTTAATCAAGAATTTATCCTAATTAAAAACGTCGCAATGTAGATGTCCTATGAGATCCACAGCACGGTTATTTTTGAAATACTGCATACGTCTCACAAGAGCGGGGTTCTCAGTTGGAGCATCAAAGCCATCATCCATCAGCCCCGGAGGATCGCTATCCCATAAACAGGTGGTGAGATGAGAGGATTTTGCCTCTGAAGAATAATTCAACAATGTCTCGATTCGCGTAAGCATTGTTCAGAAGCGACACAAGGTTTTGATTGAAGTACACATCAATTTAATTGAACATGGAATGTAAAACGTTATTTACAGGCCCTACTTTATGCTCTGCAGCAGCAGAAACCGAAGTAGCCGGAATAACCGCTGCTGGGGTTTGCAATATCACGCGAAGACTGAAAAGAGTATGCGAGAGATTTATGTAATCTTCGCCATGTCCCGGTACGACAAACTCCACTGGAGCGTCGTCCGCAAGAGTCGACATAGGTTTGTAAAGAATCCATTGAAAACTCTCAATACTGGTCTGAGTGGGCAGTAGAGTAGAAAGATCAAGTTCGCTTTTGAAACACTCACACAAGTGAGTATGGAGAAAAACATTTTGCTTCGTCTACGAGAATATATCGCTCACGGTTCGTTTCTCGCTCACGCGGCGTTTGCTAGTTTTTGTCGCGCGTTTCTTCTTTATTTTCTGAATTCCTCTACTCGTTGGGCGTTTAAGTGCTCGAGTTTTCTTTTTTCTCCGCACGGAAACTAATTTCTTGTCGGTGCTATCTTGACGGCGACGCTCAATCGCGAAGTAAACGGGGAGCTCACCAGGGTCAAACTGACCCGGGCGTTTCTTCGCAAGTGGTATATATCCCGACCCTCGCATTAAGCTGGTTATTTTTTTTTGCTTGTTGTTTGAGATTGTCACGTGATTCTTTGAAACAACTGTTAACTGCTTCTTTTAGCGGAATTTTGTTATCCCCCACATCGTTTATTATTCTCACACCGGCGCGTAAAGCTTCTTTTCCGATTGCGCGCGCTCCGCTAGTTTAGTAAGGAAGCACCCTCCTGAACAATTCGCCGAGAAAGCTGTCGATACCGTGACCACGCTGATACGTCGATCCCGTGAAAACTTTCGGAACACCGCCCCCGCACTGCATCTCGTAATATTTTATATTATGAGCCATAATCTAGTCGAATACGCGTCTAAAGTGTAACGTTACCGTCAACGTGCCGAATTTGAATGGAATAAATTTACCAAACTGATCTCTTATATCTATTTCTATCATGCGGAAATTTGGTTTACGAATCGGAATATAATTTCCAGGCGAGTAATGTTTTACCTGATTAGAACCGTACTTATCCGTGGTATTGTTAGTAACGATTCGAAGAAGCGGTGTTTGCGCATCTCCGGTTATGTACACAGTTTGTCCGGAAAGTTCCCGGACTACGTGAAT